GCGGCTCACCTGATGTTAAGTGAATACCGCCGCCCATGAACAACTCCAACACCAGGGGAATTGCAGATGCGTTGCCGGCCTTTTAAAAAAGAGTAGGATCTATTCTTGAAGGTCTTTAAGTCGTATCGGTTCGATGGTGGTAAGTTCAAGTGCACAAGGTAGTTGTGCGAGGAAGAAAACTTCTTCTAAATCGCACAGTGGTGGAACGCCAATCATCCAGATGGTATGGATGGTATCGGCCTTCTCTTCCAAGTGACCACGAAATTGCACGTCATTCGATATGTCGACACTGAGGATTCCGATACTGGCTGAGGCAACAAGGGGAGTGCCTTGAAACTGAGGAGATACGACAAAGGGGTTCTTTTTAGCGGTAAACGCGCAAACTTGTGTCTTCTGGGGATTGAACTGGACTAGACTTAGTCGCCCCCAGTGTGAAACTTTGTTCAACAAAGTCTCGACTTCAGACACAAGTTTGTTGCGGTACTCGGGGACGTATTCCCGAGAAATATTGGCACGGCCGGTGTATAAAGCATCACCAGTACAGTGTCGTCTGCATAGCAATGAATGTTACTGGTTTGCAACATATCATTAATATGTAGAAGAAACAGCGTTGGTGAGATAGCACACAGCCTTGTGAAACACCAGCGTTAACGGGCTTGTAATCGGAGCATGCACCGTCTACTACGACCTTGATGCTCCGCTCTGCAAGAAAACTGGTGATCCAATTCCAATTGCACAATTTCTCTGGATGCTCATCGGAAGGTAGCTTTGAAAGACGCGCTTTGTGCCAAACCCGATCGAAGGCCTTCGCTATGTCCAAACTAACGGCCAACGCCTCTCATTTGGACTCCACTGCCTCCTATGAGTTAGGTAACCTAGAAGATCACCAACTGAGTGACCTCTACGTAAGCCGTACATGAGCTGGCAGTTAATAATGGTTTCCATTACTTTGGAGAACGAGGAGGTGATATAGATAGGCCTGTAGCTGGATGGATCTGAGCGGTTGCCTTTTTTAGGGATCGGGTGCACCAAAGCCGTCTTTCATGAGTTCGGAACTACGCCTAGGGAGTAGGGGTACTGGAAAAGACGCGTTAATACCAGTGCCAACTCCGGAGCAGACGTCTTCAGTACAATAGGTGGAACTCCATCAGGTCCACTCGACTTGTTGACGTCCAGGGAGAAGAGTGCTTTAAGCACCGAGCGCTGTGTAAACAGCAATTCCTGCATGGAGCACTCACACCGCGGGATGGTCGGCGATGTGTTCCCCCGTCATCTAGAGACAAGTTACAAGCAAAAAAAGTGTGCAGAGATGGCAGAGATGGCTGACAGAAGTTCCCTTGGACAGCCTTGGCGAAAGACCAGAATGCACCTGTTCCCGAAGGAAGGCGAACTAGTTTCTCACCAATTCTGCTGATGTGCACTGACTTTGCCGTGGCAATGACACTTTTGAAGGACCTGGAGGCAGAATCATATTTCTTTTTAAGAGCGCTGGTAATTACATCCCGGCACGTTGATGCGTCAGCCCAGGCCCGGTAGCCTCCTGCTTATAGCGTGATGTAATTTTACAGATGTGACCAAACCATGGCTGAGTTCTGTCTCCGAAAGGCACCACAGATGATGGAATAAATAATTCCATTTGCTGAAGTACCACATCAGCGATATAATCAGCAACAAGTTGGGATCATCCGGCGAGAAGCAAACCTGCCCCCAAGGGTAGGATGCAAAAAAAGACCGTATCCTGTCCCAATCGGCCGACCTATAGTGCCAAACATGGCGGCAAGCTGCAGATCGCAACTGAGATGGGAGCGTGAGTGGCACCGTACTCCGGATCAGACAATGGTCCAAATAGCCAAGAGGGGCATTGACGGGGACCTGATATCCGTCCCGGATGAGAGGTCAGGAGATGGTCAAATAGGCGAAGTAACCAGTTGTGCCAGACCATATGCCAAGGCAAAGTCATAAAGTCTACCCGCATGATCGGTTAAACGAGAACCAAGCCACTCAGCGTGGTGGGCGTTAAAATCACCGAGCATCACGATCTCTGCAGATGGGACCTCTGCATATGCACAGAGTCTGCAGCCATTTGGACGTGGTCAATGAGTCAGACTGTGATGGAATTACTTGGTCGTCGTTGGAATTGATGGTCGTCGCTGTCTACGCGCAGCCATAGGATGGACAGGTCCGTACCTTCAAGACTGCCGAGGCGTCGAAAACAGAAGTCCTCTCTGACATACACACAAACTCCAGCACGGGGCACAAAGGAGTGTTCTAATTTGTACCCCGGGTAGCAGAGATACGAAGTATCAGCCGGAAAGGAGATCTGTGTCTCGACTAGAAAGAGCAAGGCCGGTTTTGCCGTCTACAGATGGTAGTGGATGGCGTTAAGGTTTGAATGAAGTCCCCTGATATTGCAGAAATTCACGTAAAGCGTGGCAGGGGCTGCCTTTGTCTTATTGCTTCGCTTGCCCCGAGCAAGTTTCGTCTTGAACGGAATTTTGCCCCCTCGCAGAATACGCGAGGCAGCCTGAGCACCCATGCTCAGAAAAAGTAGGGTAGCTTGGGCGTGGATGCTCAGCGAGGGATTATCCAGGGATGCTAGTACCCTCCTGGGATAGTGTTCCATTTAATTCCGCTACCATGTTGATGAGGGGGGGGGGGCATTGTGCCTCCGGCCACCTGCACTCTACAGGCGAAATGCAGAAGTAAACTTCTACTTCACGCTAGTATTCTGTGAGGTCATGGTACCACCCCGGTTTGAGCTGGCCTATCCGTGCGACAGCAAAGCTAAGTAGGTACATAAAATTAATAAAAAAATGTTTTAAGAATAAATAGCATAATATGTATATTCCGTACGGATAAATAATAAGATTAGAATTGGCGGCTCATCGAGCCCGTCCCGTCAACATGCACAGTACCAATAGCGAAAACCCACTAATAACGGTATATCGTTATAACGTTATATTATTCGGTTATTTGGAAATGTTCTATTAATGGGATAATATTTGAAAATAATTATATACGCAAGTACCTGACCTGCTCTGGCTTAGTCTAGGTGAGATCTATTAATGTGATATTATTTAAACATAAGATAATCATTAAAGACCATTTATTTTATCTTATCAATATTTCTATTTTAATAATGTCTCTAAATTTTTCGGATAAAACTTACTCAAGACCACTTTTGATATTTGTTCATGAATTATTTACAAAAATTGTTTCAGCCATTCTAAAGATTAGTGCGGACAGACATAAAAACGAAAAATTTAAAAATGATAACTCGTGTCTCAATAGCATGGTAAATATGACATGCAAAAATACTAACAAAAAAATGTATGTAATTATGAAGAAAACTCGCAAAACGCGTCTAGCTCACAAATTGCAAAACCGTACTGAATTTTTATTTTGTAGTTTATAGCATTTTGTTATCATTGATTCCAAATTGGACTGAAGTTATAGAACGTACGAAAAACGCATATCGTAACGTAATTTTATTGCAGTCTTTACCGGCGGGTGTGAGTATAGATAGCGACAGTGTGCGAGCAAGAGGTAAATAGAGGCGACGCCATATTCAATCCCATTCCTTAACCGCATGGGTGATAATTATTCATACATAAATGTATCCATTTTCATAAAAGTGACGTGTGAAACAAACTAACTGAAGGATGCTTGCAACCTGCAATTTCAAACAAAGAAGGCAACAAATATGCGATCACCTCTGAAGTCTAATAATTTGGAAACACAGCAGTACAGAAAGTGCTGCTCTCCGACAGAAATTGATAAGAGGGTAAAATCTCCTGAGTAGAAATTGAGTCTTATCACTACACTTAAAACACAACAATATCGCCAGGAAACTGCTAGAAATCAATGTAAAATAACCAGACGCCTTACTAAAGTAGTACACGTATCACAATCATCGATAGTCGGCGTTTGGTGATTGCGATTACGCTAGCACTAAAAACTTAGGAAAGTTCATTCACTTTTCATTGAAACACCTTTTCATTTCGTTGAAGGTATTTACCTTCAACGAAAGGATGAGGGAATTAAGTCTTGCGATTACTGAGCACGCTCTCAAATATCCTGTATAACAACGAGAGTTTGGCTACCTAAGCTAGTGTAGAGAAATTTTGTAAATATTAAATTAAAAATCTCCTTTTGAAAGTTTGTTAAGACCTATACATATTTAGTTCACGTAACAGCACCAATTAAAATATATTGGGCGAAGTTTTGCATACACTGGCCATGACAACGCATTCTTAACAAATCTTCGTACAGCACGTGTAGATGGTGATGCATGGATTAAAGCATTCGGTGCACCCACCACAGCATCCACCACCGTAAGGTCTGCAACACATTTTTGGATGAGTCCTCATTGAACAGAAAATCTGAAGGAATATAAAAAAGGTTTATTTTTAATATTTTAGGATACAAAATATTTTTTTTGTTTTTATATGTATTTCCGCAATGGAATTAAGTGAATTAAATTATAATTAGAAATTAAAATGAGAAATGATTATATTTTATGCTTAAAAACATTTATGTTGTAACGAAACACAATCAATCAATCTAGTAAATGCCTTTAAGCTGCTATAATAGCTGAAACACGGCCATTATTCTGTAATCAAATAATTATAAATTGTAAATCAGACCAATACGATAGTAACACAATGAGATCATTTCGATTTAAATATTAAGTACTCATGTTAAATACTCAATTTACGTAATTGCACTGATAACATCGATTATTATAGGCTTTTTTCGTACCATTTTATTCGGATTATATTTCCTCGATTAATGGTCATTGCACGAAATTACATCACTTATCGAATTCATATTTGCGTTTTTTACGAAATGATATTCAAACAATTCAAAATTAAAATACGTAATTAATAATTTACTACGTACGTAGGTACCGTCTTATTCTTTTAAACATAACTTCATCCATATTTAGAACATTACACATATTTATCCTATTAAATACTAACATTTGTCCTTTCCTTTAGCTCTAGGGCTGGAGCCGGACTTCCTGTATCCCCTTGAGAACGTGACGATCGCGCAGGGTAGAGACGCGATGTTCACATGCGTGGTCAATAACCTTGGCGGTTACAGGGTGAGTGGCGACTCCGCCACTGCCAGGGTGTGTATCAAACCAACTCATTACAGCTAGTCGACTGAATAGTGAAGCACCAACAAAGAGCACCAGTGAAATGAGACCCGGTAATGTGAACGTTGTATGGCAAACCAATTAAAATATTCATATAATTAATAAAATATAATAATAAGAGAATTAAATTAATAAATTAAGAATAATTAAAGTTCTGAAATGATTTCATGCATTATGGATTATCCATAAAATTGTTTGTGCATGTCCTTCCTTTTAGTAATTTTATAATAGTTACATAATATAACAACGCAATAAATAATAACACGTTCAATTACTGTTTTTTTCGAAAAGTTTTATTCCATTATTGATTCAAAAGACCATTTCAAACGCAAAACAAGTAACTCAAACATAAATTATGCCGATTACTTGTATATTGATTTCTACAAAACAAACTAATAGTTAAGCCATGCGCTTATAACTTACAAAATGGCATAATTATTTTGGGTATTTAAGATCGCCTGTACTTATTTATAAAAAATTGTGCCCATTTTCTTGCGTAATAAATATTTTTAGTGTATTTTACAAAAATATGAATACAGTCACCGATGAAAGATATCAAATGCCATGTTCATGTCACATTATCGATCTCAACCTATAGACCTTTGCACTAACTTCCACACTCTTTGCACATCTCTTTAGCACACAATCTTCTGTGCACCTCTTGAGCACTCTTCAACTCACATCTGTCTAGAAACTATCTCTATCTAGTATAGAGTGTAACACGATAATTAAAATTGCACAATAAACTGTAAGTTTGAATTTATAGATGTAGAATTAGATCACTGCAACGACGTTCCATGCACATATCTACAATTGCACAAAATTATTTACAGATTCTCGCAGAAATTTTGACAATTTGAACATTGATTTGAAATATAATTTATTTCATTTATATTATTTTCTAAAATGTATTTGCTTTTGTGCACTATCACATATATTATATTACATTACATTATATATTATAACTAGCTGGCCAGGCAGACGTTGGTCTGCCCTTTCCGACGACCCTGCCCATAAAAAATCCTTAAATTCGCATAAAAAAAATTTGAAGGTCACTTATCGGGATAAAAATATCTCTCAAGTTGGACCAAACTGCACACAGTGTGCGAACTTTCATTAAAATCAGTTCTATATGTACAATAGGTAAAGAAAACCACGTCCGATTCGAAATAACCTCATTGGTACCGTAATGACACCACCAAAGAAATTAAAACACCATTTTATTGAATAAAAGAAATTATTTTTATATGATTTTTTTTATTTATTAATTCTTTTGTGTCATTACAATAACATTTTATTGTTATAAAATATTGTTATTGTGTAAATCCGTTCTTTTCAGTATTTTATAATATTTTTTTCCGTTTCATAAATAAGCTTTTATTTCAAGCCGGTGTTAAAATACAAATAGTTATATTTTGACTCCGAATTAAATTAATTAAGACTACTCGTGATTTTTTTCCTAAACAGTGCTGCGGCAATGTTACTTGTAGCTTCCACTGAATTGATTTGAAAATTCAACAAATTTTTAAAATCTAGCACCTCCGACGTTGACCAAGTTATCTTTGAAATTGTATTATCATATTATATAATATTCTGTTTCTCCATTTATTTTATTTTATAATCCATTTATTTATAAAACTATTGTACCTAAAATCACCCTAATGGATCGGACAGAGTTTTTTATATCCATAAAGTATATACAAACGTTACGTAATTTATAACGTAAAGCATTTCCACCAACAGTAAAATACATTCACAAAAAAGTAATATTTTATTTTTACTGGGCAATATATTATATATATTTAAAGCATAATATATTGTTTTATTATGAGTAACAAAGTTTAACAAAATTTCATTCTAAAATAAATATGCAAATCTTACATGATGAGCCAATTTAATTTAGCAAGATTGCAAAACAGTCACTTTACGAAATTAAAATAAAGCCCGAACAAACCCTCTTGGTCCCCGTTCAATCATTTCGAGAGGTAGTGCTCTCAAACTGTCCCAGCAGTTAATCTACCTATGGAGAGCCACGATTGAAACATTCAATAATTTTCGCACACGTTAATTTAACAGTCACAAGTTTATTTTTTTATGAAATTGCTTGTTAAATATTTTCTATGATAACACCTATAAAATAAAACTCTTATTATCTGTTTCATTGCAACAAAACGTATACCATGACAAAATACATTTATAATTGTATTTTTGCAATGTTTTCCACTTAATGGAATTCCTTGCTTTATTTGACAAAAAAAACTACTATCCACACACTTTTTAAATATTTATTTACTATATATCCTATAAAAAGGTTGTAACCGTTCAGGTTATATATTTTAAAAAATTATCAAAAAGAAATCTGTGGATGTGTAAAAAGAAGACATCCGAAATTCATTCAACTCCTAGTGCTTGTAAATAATAATAGGAAACTACAAAGACGGATCAGTTTTTCACTTACGTTACCCACTATATACAAATATACCACTATTAGCGATAGTAATTGATGATACTGGTAGTAGGTAAATATTAAACATCCTGTACAAACAAACAAAAAACGAAAACATTTGCGGTAGCTACCAGAAACTAAAAAAATTTATATATTATATTATATGCACTATTTTGTGACTATAATAGATTATTCAAAAATGTAAACCTAGCATTAATTACTCAAAAGGAAGTCAAAATATTAACACTCATTCTTTTATATATTATTTGTTTTGAAAAATATTACACGTGAAGAACCTTACTTCGATATGCACCGCTGGTATGGATGAGTTGAGAAATTGGTAAATATTTTATTGTTATGTTTATTATAAGTTTCATGTTTTTGCAAATCTGCCTTCATTGCGATATAAATTCAAAGTATCTTATTTTCTTCTTACTATCAACATTTATTCTAAAAAACTTATTTTATAAATACAATTAAATCTCGTAAACTGAAATTGTATCGCAATGTAGTATTTACACCCTTTTATTGTATTTATTTCATAACTCATATAATATACAATAAATATAAGGATAACAAATTAAATTTACCATAAAAGGTTGTAAAGCTTTGTGGTTGCAAAATGAAAGTATTATGGCCACAGAGTAATATTTTCATTTATGCATAATTTCATATTTTGTAGTAATACTTTTCACCATAGGCACCTTATCACAAAGTAGTGTTTGATGCACAAGCACTCTTACTAAAATAAATGACGTGTTGTATAGTCCTCTACTTTGTCTTTATAGCACCAACTTTATCTTGTAGAGCCACTTCCTGCACATTATTTAAATGCACATAGAGTTAGGAATAATATAATATACTCTTCAAGCAAAATTTATAAGATAAGTCTATTCGAAGAGTTTGTATGAAGTATATAATATTATAAATTATTCATGCACAGCGTCCCGGATTCCAAACGAACCGTGGTGGAATTTCTAAAATGTCATTTTTTGTCGACATTTGTTCGTTTTTTGTTACGCGCTATGCAGGAAATTAGCTTCTATTGCAATGTCGACGCTTTTGGTAAGCGGGTGGAACGAGGGCGTTTTCACAGCGCGCCCGCAGTACTGCTCATAGCGGCGACCAGACGAGAAATGTAATTAAAAATTCCGAGAGCATTTTGCGAGGCGCTCGCAACAAGATAGTGTTGCCGGCTCGAGGATCGTTGTCGTGACTACCTCTTGGGAAGTATTTGCTTGTAATTAGACTTGTTCGCCCTAAAAGTCTTCATTTCGTACACAGCTGCAAAGTTCTCGTATTTCGAGTTTCCCTATTCCGAGAATCATCGAGAGAATCTTTCAACTATATAATTTAATATCTTTAATACACTACCAAAATACATTGTACATATTATGTGTTTGAACGAAAGTTAATATGTTCTCCGAGACAGGTAGCATGGATCAAAGCAGACACAAAGGCCATTTTAGCGATACACGAACATGTAATCACTAACAATGCAAGGCTGAGCGTAACTCATAACGACTACAACACGTGGACACTTAACATCAGGGGAGTGAAACGAGAGGACAGAGGACAATATATGTGCCAAGTGAATACAGATCCCATGAAAATGCAGGTAATAATAATATTTGAAGCAGAAATATTCTTTTAACTTACATGTATGCATTTTATAAAATTTACTCAATTTGTTTTTGGGTATAAATATAAATATGCCACCTTCCTTGATCAAATACTAAACTCATCTGCTAGCAGTGCCTCTTACTGATCGACGAACGAAGGTAGGGCGATCACCTGATGGCAGAATCCAAGCAAATACGCTGAAACCAATTTTCTCAGCCACCACGACTTAGCTCTCAATAACTTGCCTGTATAGCGTTGTATGAGCGAATCTTCCAAGGCAAAGCATTCTTAGCAAAGCCCATGTCTTAAAAAGAATGTTGTGTTTGTGTGTTGTATTAATGTGTTGCAACTTGATTTTTTTAAATCAAAAAACAACTTTATAATCTGCAGTGTCTGTCAATAAATTAAAAATAAAATCAATAAATCAATCCATGCCAATTTTCATAAAACCAATATGACGTCTTAAGATTATTGTTTTTTTAAGGTTAGTGCAACGAATTGTGGTCACAAAATAAAAAATAAAAAATGATTTATTAAATTCATTTTAGTTGACAACGCTGCTTCTTCATGGGTTTTTTTTTATAGGATAAGGGTGACAAACGAGCACACACTCCACCTGATGGTAAGTGGTTGCTGTGGCACATAGACATCTACATCTATCTTCGATTAAGAATCAAAATGCAGATGCGTTGTCACCCGTGAGGACTACGATGGAGTGCCTCGTTTCCAGTAAAAAGAGGCTCCGGTTCTCTACACTCACCATACGAAACACAGCAGCGTTAAGCTACTATTTTACGCTGGCATTCTGTGAGAGCGTGGTCATTCCCCGGGCGAGCCGACGCATTCGTTCTACAACCATACTACTATAATAGCTGCAGCATGGCTCTTCTACGTATAAAGTTCGCAAAATTCCACTGCTGAGTTCGTGTAGTTTCTCAAATTGGGAAGATTTGCCTTAATTGTCAAAGATGATATCTGGCCTGCAGGAAATTTGAAAATAGTTTTAAGTTAATGTGCAATGTAATGTCAATGAAATATCAGTTAACTGATCGTATGTGTATAATAAATGTTTCATTACATGGTAATTTTTATTTTTAGACAGCATTTTTGGAAGTAGTTATACCACCTGACATTATTTACGAGGAAACTTCTGGGGATATGATGGTACCAGAAGGTGGTTCTGCTAAACTTGTTTGCAAGGCTAGGGGATATCCCCCGCCAAAGATTTTATGGCGCAGAGAAGACGGTGGTGATATTATTTCAAGAAGCGGACCGCAGGGAAAAACAAAAGGTGAGAATAAATTATTCATAATTGAATTTCTCGTTCCGTAAGCAACGACCAAAATTTTAATCTCATTTACCAGCATTTACAGTTTTAAACATTCAAGGTGTTCTTGTTTTATAGATACATTTAAAAAAAAAATTGACGCTCCGACTGATAAATGTTTAATTAAAAATTATTTAATTATTTGGTATTTACATATAAAATAGCCGCTTTGTATGAGACAATTCAAATACAATATAATAAAAAAAACTTTAATTATTATATATTTGCGTTTTACTATAAAAAAGGCAAATATGTGTTATATTTGCCATTTATAGTTTGTTCATGCCCTTGCTATAGATGTTTGTTCCACAAGAATCGATGAATTTTTAAGGCTTCATTTATTACTTCTTCAGAATTTAAATTTTTGCCTTCCAAACAGTTATATAAATTTAAAAAAAGAAAGTTTATTTGGAGGTCTGGACTATATGAATCATAACGAAAGGTCTTTAGCTTTAACTCTGATGAAACAATAGTGAAGAGCAGTTCTCTGATCTGGGTTTTGTGAGTTTTACCGCTATTATTTGCAATTCTTGGCAATAAGGGCCAGAAGTAATACTTTTTTTTGAAAACTTTTTTTGAGGTAGTGGTAGGTCATTGCTATTGAGTGCCTTTTGAGACGCAATGTTTCTACATTGGAAGTCATATTAAAATAAAAACACGTGTTTTCTTAGAGTTCATAGTTGTATCATCATCATCATTACAGCCTTTCATAAGTCCACTGCTGAACATAGGCCTCCCCCAAGGAATGCCACAAAGCACGGTCCTGAGCCACCTGCATCCATCGACTTCCTGCATGTCTTACCAGGTCGTCACTCCATCTCGTGGGGGTTCGCCCTACACTTCGCCTACCGGTACAAGGCTGCCACTCAAGAACCTTTCTTCCCCATCGGTTGTCGGTTCTTTGAGCTATATGGCCGGCCCACTGCCACTTCAGCTTACTAATCCGTTGGGCTATGTCGGTTACTCTGGTTCTACTGCGGATATCCTCATTCCTAAGTTTATCACGCAGAGAAACCCCGAGCATAGCCCTCTCCATAGCTCGCTGAGCGACCTTGAGCTTCTTCATACGGCCAGCAGTGACGGACGACGTCTCAGATCCGTAAGTCATCACTGGCAACACGCCCTGGTTGTACAATTTCTTAGTCCTGATAGGTGACAAAGCATCTGCATTTTGATTCGCAAACGAGGATAGATGTAGATGTCTATGAGCCACAGCAACCGCTTACCATCAGGTGGACTGTGTGCTGGTTTGGCACCCTATCCAAAAAAACAAAACTAAACCCTCACCCGTAGCGCCGTAGTAGGAACGTTTGGACACTTCGGTATCGTGCTATCAATATAACACTATTTATAAATAAGGTTTAATCATGCACTAGAATAGAATAAAAATGCTGACTTACCTAAAGAGCAGATTCAAAATTTTTCAGTTGAAATTAATTTTGTTTAAAATTTTTATAGGACTTGTATTATTTTCGGAAATAGGAAACTTAAATAAAAGTATCTCTTGAACTCGTCTTAAAATATTCAATCTTGAAATTCTATTGAACCTTAGTACTAAATCAGACCGCAGAACCTTGTGAAGCTCCTAGTACCATTCACACCGGCCTTTTTAATCCAGCAGGATTAAAATCTCTAGACAGTCCGGGAATAATTACTTATCTACTCATCGCTTTACTAGCCAAACAAAGGGGAATAAGAGCTTGTCAAATGAAAGTCGATCGTCGATAAGTTCAATCGAGATAGTATCTTCGGCTTATTACATTTTTGAATTAATTTTAACGAAGAAAAGCTATTATTGATTGAATATTTTAAATACATATTTATTATACAGTACATATTTCTTTATACAGTTTTGGACCATATTCCATGGCAGTTAAGTTATATAATACAATTACCGAAATATATAAGAGAGATGGAAGAATATAAGAAATTTGTGATAGCACTAAGTAGCTTTTTGATTAAGAAATGTTACTATAAATTAGATGAATATTATGTAAAATAGAAATAAATAAATAAATATAGTAATACAACGTATATTAAATACTACAATGATACCTGTAATTTATAAAAATATATAAATATTAGTATTAGCAGTAAGTTATTAGAAATTAAGGCTAGCTTTAATTGATATTGTTACACCCTTGCTGGGTGCATGTTCTGTAATGTGTCACACAAAACCACAAGTAAATGCAGTAAATAAATAAAATGAAGTAAAAAAATTAAAGTTTTAAATATCAATATTATAATTGTTTGATGGTTAAGAAATATCTTCATCTCTTCTTAATGGTCACAGTTAGAAATCAACATAAAACGAGTCCTGACAGTAAAATATTCTGTATGGAGCTTTTCATCTGTCAGTTTCCCTTTCCAACGGCACTGACAAGATCTATCGTATGGTTTGGTGACTGAAAGTAGTATCGGACATCGCTCGCTCATGAGCTTCTATGGCGCTCTTTAAAATTGTCAAGCCAACATCCCTCTACTCTGCCTAGGGTTGCCAGATGGTCGGGATTCGTCTGGATTCTCCCGACATTTTAAATGATCTCCAGACTCCCGACAAAATTCAAAATCTCCAGACAGACGGCTTCTCGGAAATTATATTCTTTCTTTCTTTTTGTATACTAAATAGTAATTTAAAATTGCCACGCGCGGTCACCTTCTAGTTCGTCATGTCCCGACAAGATGGCTATCTCTTTTGCCCACTTTAGATAATTTACTGTATTGTTAGTCTGCTGTAAAGCAGTATTTTATGTTGAATGGGGAAGACGAATCTCGAAAAGAGATATTTATATGGGAGTTTGTAACAAAAAGTAAAAGCCATATTGATAACAATAGTGTACGGGTTGACGAATGCAAACAGGAAGGGATTTTAGAAGCTTATTTATACTCTGTACTTTGTAACGTAATGTTGGAGTTCCAAGTAGCAATTTTAGCATTGGAAAGTGCTTCATGCACTGTCCTAGAACTTGAGAGTGTAATGAAAAAACTAATGAATCATCTCAAAAACAAGTTGGATGACAAATTTTTAGGTAGTCGAAAAATAACCTTATTAAGGAATGTTTCCAATAGTGAGAAAACACTTTTTTGCGTCAAAGCTGAACATTTTTTAAAACGAGCTATTGAATACTTTTCTGAGAACTGTTTATAAAAACTACTTAATATTTACCTATACTTAAATATTAAGTAGTAGTTCATCATCATTATTACAGCCTTTCATATGTCCACTGCTGAACATAGGCCTCCCCCAAGGAATGCCACAAAGCACGGTCCTGAGCCACCTGCATCCATCGACTTCCTGCATGTCTTACCAGGTCGTCACTCCATCTAGTGGGGGGTCGCCCTACACTTCGCCTACCAGTACGAGGCTGCCACTCGAGAACCTTTCTTCCCCATCGGTTGTCGGTTCTTCGAGCTATATGGCCGGCCCACTGCCACTTCAGCTTACTAATCCGTTGGGCTATGTCGGTTACTATGTTTCTACTGCGGATATCCTCATTTCTAAGTTTATCACGCAGAGAAACCCGAGCATAGCCCTCTCCATAGCTAAGTAACTAAGTAGTACTTAATATGTACTTAATATTTCAATCGATATTGACTTTGAAACACTTGAACATCTTCCAAAAAACAAGGACATGTAAAATGACAAAATTTGGGCATTTTTAAATTTAACCAAAACGACCTAAAACTTGAAAAATAATATATCATTTGTGTTGCCGATTCCTATAAGCAATTCATATTGTAAATGGGTATTTAGTTTGCTATATAATTTATATACCAAAGAGAGGAATCGTTAGTAATTGAATTGAACTTATTTCAAGTAAATTGTTTGAATTTTAAATCATTTCTGAATACTACTAAAGGACCCAAATTGGGGGACTCAATACATGTGACAACCTAAAATTTAAGTGTAATTAAATTGGTTATATGTCAACAATGTTAAGCCTTTTTGTAGCCTATTAATTTAAAAAAAATATATTTTAGGTCTTTTTTTTTTCATATTTATTTCTCCCGACAACAACCCCAAAATCCCGACATTTTCAAATTTTGTCCAGATATTTTGGCTTTCCGATCTGGCAACCCTAACTCTGCCGCTATTCTCAATATCCGCAATCTTGTTGATTAATGACGTTGGTTTTTCCTTAAATATGTAAAGGTCTGAAATATTTGTAAATAAATGTATTCCTACAAAATTTGACACATTAAAAAGTTTGAATTATAATATGACTTCAGTATTAACCGACATCCGGCATCGGGCATTCGACTACTATGAGCAGAGGTTAAGTTCATAAACAAGTTCACAGACACTAACTGTCTTCTTCAGTATCTTCAGCATTTTTATTGTCCATTTTAGAATATAATAATGAGCCAAATGACGCATTCCTCGAAGAATTTTAACATTCTGAACACTTTTTTTATATATAAAACTGCATTACAGTAAATGAGCCATGTTGCAGCTATATTAATAGTATAGTTGTAGCACGAATGGGTCGGCTCGACCGGGGATGGTTCACGCTCTCACAGAATACAAGCGTAAAATAGCAGCCTAATGCTGCTGTGTTTCGTATGGTGAGTGTAGAAAACCCGAGACCCTTTTTACTGGAAAAGAGGCATTCTATCTTAGTCCTCACGGCTGACAACGCATCTGTATTTAAATTCGCAAACGAAGATAGATGTAGATGTCTATGGGTCACAACAACCGCTTACCATCAGGTGGACTTTGTGCTCGCTCGTCACCCTTATTCTATTAAATAAAAATGAATACCTGCAGCCAACTTTAAAGCAAAAGGATACAGATGCGTTGCCACCCTACTGAGGACTAAGATAAAATACTTCACAGCCTGTTATTATACTGGCTCTTTATACCCTTCACATCGGAACACATCAGTGCACACACACTTCTATGTTATTATTATTATTTTATTATTATTATTATTATGTGACGGCGGAAATATGTGAGATGGTAGTAGCTATCCAGACGGACTCCAAGTAATAAAAGAGATCCTACTACCACCAACTGCCTAAGGGATTGGTATTACGTATGTTTCTCATTTCATCTCAAACACAACATGCGAGTGAGGTTAGCAAGTAGAGAAAAATTTGGTTTTCTATAACACAATTAATTTTTTGTTACATAATTAACAATTAACTTTTGACGGCATAGTGGCTTAGCAATGAGTTAAGCGCTAAGGGCCGCGGGTTGGAATCACACACGGTACAAATATTTGTATGACCTACAAATAATTGTTCCTGGTCTGGATGTTTGTCCTTGTAAAATTAAAGTATGTAAACTGCCCCCACGATACAGGAGAAAATTCTAGTGTGGAAGTAACGTTTTTTTTTAGTATAAAAATAAAATAAGAAAATAAGAACTTTAGTAACAGTATATATCTATGTAAAGTGTGATTTTGATTTCATAATCGAAAATCAATAATATATTATTATTACTTAAACGTTATTGTATTGAATCTCATACTTGAAATCTATTATATACATTTATATAAATATTATTTACCATTCCAAATATACCAATACAATTAATAAATTTAAATATATATATAGATATGCCTACGCGTAGCGTAGCCAATTAGGTAGTACTATGAAAAAGGTTTTTTGGCAATATATATTAAATCACCTCTATTACGAAACGAATTTTAAATCATAAATATACAGAAATTCATTGAATGATGGCTATAAATATATAACTATATGGTCATATTTTACAAGGAATTATATTGAGAATTCGTGTTGACTGGCAATTGGAAACGGTACTGACAGAGTGATTAATCGGCAGCTCCTACTCAACCCCACCAGTGTCGAGACCTTCTCATGCCATCAGTCAATTCATTAAGCTAACAAAGTACCACCGGTAATGACTTTCACAACGTTCAGAGCACTTCTATACAAACTGTTAAGATTAGAGACTAGTTATTCATTGCCTTTCCTTAGACTCGCTAGTCATATACTCTTAGTTTAATTAAACACATTAATATTCCATAGAGCAGCTAGGTACTTCTAGTAACATAACTTTGCAATTAAAAATAATAAGTAATTACCTTTTAGTGTTTCGGTTATTGACAATATGATAAACTTTGCTTCATCATCATCACCATTACAGCCCCTCACAAGTCCACTGCTGAACATGGGCCTCCCCCAAGGAGTGCCATGTCCCGAGCTACCCGCATCCATTGACTTCTTGCATGTCTTACCAGGTCGTGGAGGGACCCTCTACCTAACTTATCAGTTATAAATTATGTAACGTCAGTCACAATCTTCAATTTGATTGAAGAAGTCTAATTAAAGAGGTCGTTACAAGTTACCTCCATAAATCTGAGCAGGAAACAATATAGACTATTCATTACAGGGCAATGTTTCTTCACGGAATATTCCAATGAGGAAAGTTCGGAGGGTTGTTCAACGCGTTGAATATAGTTTTTCAATGACATCGTAGAGCTTCATTACAGGGCAATGTTTCTTCACGAAATATTCCAATGAGGAAAGTTCGAGGGTTGTTCAACGCGTTGAATATAGTTTTTCAGTGACATCGTAGAGCTTCATCGAAGACACAATACCCATCTTAAGGAGTTTCCTACTCATAAATCACTTTTAAATGATCAAATGCTTGTTTATTGATTTTTTTATCGAAACCTACAATAATGAAACTGTAGATGAAACAACGTGTAACTGTAAAATCTTACAAATTTAAAATATCTATTTCAATTAATTTACTTAAACTTCTTTTTGCATGCGGACATAATATTTTAAGGCATTATCTCTCCAACAAGCCTGTTTAATTTTGCATTTAATGCGCATCTACATATCTATCGTGCTTAGTGAAATTCTTTGGGGGAAGCCTATGTTCATCAGTGGACTTCTGAAGGGCTGTAATGATAATGATGATAATGATGAGGAGCATATAATATATTCATACAAATATGTAATATATACACATAAATTAGTAAAATTAAAAAAACAAATATCCGTGGCTCTCCTCAACGATTTCAAAATAAAATAAACACGGCCAACCGCAAATATTTAACAATTATTAAATTTTATACGCTTTCAGCAATATCCATACTTTCCTTTCATGAGCAAACTACAACCGGTCCATGGTGCTTGACTGTCACTTGACTTATGACACATCGACAGGCCAAGTTTATTGAACAGTCCACTTGGAAGACAGTTCAAGAACACGTGGAGTAGCCTAGTTTAAAAATATATTATTTAAATTTTTGAATTATATATACTAACTCAAAAATAAAAAAGTACTTCATGCGTTTCCAATTCAAATTCAATGTAATTTTTTTCTTAGAAGTAAATAAGGTGACAAACAAGCACACAACCTACCTGATGATATTGTATGCTGTGGCCTATAGACCTATACATCTATCCTCGATGAAGAAAAAAAATAAATGCATTGTTTGTTACCTTAGAGGTATAAAATAGAATGCTTCGTTATCAGTAGAAAGGATATCCGATTCTAATTTACCACACGAAGCGTCAGCATTAAGGTACTGTTTCACGCTGGTATTGTGTACGAGCGGGGTCCTTTCCCAGTTAAATTGACCAATTTGTGCTGCACTTATAAGACTCAGCAGCAGAGCAAAGAATGTATATTCTCACTCTCACGCCACAAAATGAAATTAAATAGCGAGGTTTCTTCCTAACAACCTATAAGTGATAGTAATTTATTATTATCTTACATTATTACTATAAAATACTTTTGACTTTATAGAATTTTGTTAATAACATTAAAATAATATTTCATCACCAATCATCATTGCAGCTCATCACAAATCCACTACTGAACATAGTCCACAAGGAAAGTCACAAAGCGCAAAGAAATAACATTTAATTTTAAGTAAATCGGTAAACACTCCACCGCGCCACTGTGCTTGCCAGTTTTGTTTGATAACGAAGCGTCGATCGTGCCTCGGTCGACGGAGTGCTCAACACTTTAAACCATCAACTCCGTTCGGTTTCCTTGGAAAATATTGGCCTAGCTTTTTATCCTCTTGTTTGAATAATGGCTGTAAGCGTACTTCGGTGCCATTTCAGCAAGGTGTCAGGAAAACATCTTGAGAGTTCGAACCACTAACGGCACTTGTTTATCGAAGCTCGTCTACTTTCGGTGTTTCGGAGTGTTTTCAAATACTTCTTCGCGAAATGTAAAGTAAGCACTAGTATCGATAGTGTGCGAATCTTGGGTTCCTATTTTGATGAGATATTATTTTATTTTAACAACTGTAACACCGGTAGTTTTAATATCTTTTTAGATGAAAAGAAATATATATTTCATTTTTGTTCCAGTAACGTCACTGGAAGGCGAGATAGTTAATTTAACGAAGGTCACCCGTTCGGAAATGGGGGCTTACCTTTGCATCGCAGCAAATGGTGTTCCACCATCTGTAAGCAAGAGGATCATGCTACATGTGCATTGTAAGTACCTACACACTTCAGGACAGATTAAAAACCACATTTTTTTTTATCATCACATCAGTTATTACATTACGAATACTATCCATCACTGGATGTAGGCTAAAAGGCTCCAAAGTAAGTAACTAGGAGTTGTCTATGACAGTAGACGAATGACGGATTCTAACTTATGATTTTAAAGTTCGCGAAGCATAAGTACCCTTAATTATTAGACTGTTTCTCAATCCTCGCTCTGGGTAATACAGGTATAATAATATATTTAATAGTTTTTCTGTCGCATGCCGAAAAATTACATCTACTGATTTTAGGGTTCCGTGCCTCTAAAGGGAAAAAGTGTTCCTATAAGGGTCCCCCTAGGCCCTAGGATCACTTTGTAGTCTGTCTGTTTGTATATCAAGACTTTTTTAAGTCGACTTTAATAAAGGAGAAGACTCTCAATTTGAGTGTATGTTTTTTTGTATATATGATGTTTTTTATTAAATATGTGATATTACGAGGGTGGATTGAAAAGTACTCGGCCTAACACAGATCCATTCAATTCTAAAAATCAAATCTACCCACATTATTTAGTTCAGTTCAGACTAGTTCATTGTGTGAAGTTCGAAACGTGTGCGATAATTAGTTGTGATTTTATAAATTTATTAACAAAGTAATCGGACATAATTTCCGCGAATGGAGCAAATCGAGCAGCGTGCCGTCATTAAGTACCTCCATAAGAAGGGGCTATCATCAAAAGCCATCCATGATGACATGGTCAGTACATTAGGCGATTGTGCTCTGTCATATTCATCCGTCAAAAAATGGATAGCAGAATTTAAGCGTGGTAGAGAGAGTGTGAAAGATGAACCCCGCTCTGGAAGGCCTTCGACGTCAACTACTAACGAAAATATTAAAAAAGTACTTGATTTAATAATGGGAGACCGCAGATTAAAAATTAGAGAGATAGCCGAGATTATAGGCATCTCTTATGAACGAACTCAAAACATTGTCAACGAGTTGGGTTTCCACAAGGTGTCTGCGAGGTGGGTTCCGCGACTGCTTTCAGTTGAACAAAAAAGGACGCGATTGACTATTTCACGCGACTGTTTGGAGTTATTTGAAGCCGATGCAGATGATTTTTTGAATCGTTTTGTTACTATGGACGAAACATGGGTTCATTACTGTACACCGGAAACAAAACAACAATCAAAACAGTGGAGAAGACCTGGTTCACCACATAAAAAGGCTAAGTCGATTTTGTCGGCAAATAAGGTGATGGCTTCAGTATTCTGGGACTCGAAAGGTGTGATTATGATTGATTATCTTGAAAGGGGTCAGAATATAAACTCTGATTACTACTGCACCTTACTACGTCGTTTACGAGAGGAAATAAAAGAAAAACGTCGAGGAATGCTCAGAAGAAAAGTCCTGTTTCATCAAGATAACGCCCGTGTTCACACGTCAGTACAGTCAATGGCTGAAATTCACAACTGTGGCTTTGAACTGTTACCGCATCCGCCGTATTCACCTGATCTGGCACCATCAGACTTCTTTCTGTTCCCTAACCTAAAAAAGCACTTGGGAGGTCAAAGATTTTCGACAAACGACGAGGTCAAAGCAGCTGTAGACGCATATTTTGACTCTAAGGAAGAATCATTTTTTTTCAACGGTCTAAATGCTTAGAAGGGGAGGTGGCAAAAGTGTATTGAACTTGATGGTGATTATGTAGAAAAATAAAAATATAACTGATTTAGTATTTGTTTATTTTCTTGGTTAGGCCGAGTACTTTTCAATCCACCCTCGTACTTCGAGGGAAATCCCATACTCGTATAAATTTGGAAAAAAAAAATCTACTAATAAGGGGGCAAATAGGGAATGAAATGTTTAATGTAACTGTTTAGACGAAATTGACATTGTGATCAAGTTGAAATAAACATCAAACTCTTAGGTCTACTATGGCCTCTTGGATGATCTTTTTTTTATTGAAGAAGAGGCATGCATCATCTGCATTATTGGTGCGTTGCCAGCTCTTCAGAAATGAGTATGCTCTTTTCCTGAGTGTCCCTAAGTCGTATCGGTCCAAAACGGCTGGTGGCAGTAAGTTTTAATATTCCGCGTAAATCGCACGGTAATGGACCGCCAGCCATCGAAATGATGAGGATGGAAATCTGAACAATTCCTCTGAGCACTATCCGTGTTACATGTGGTAGAAGATGCACAGAGTCGATCGAAAATAACTTGGTAGTTAAAAAACTTTTAAATTAACGCAAGGGTATTGCCATTTATGTAACAAATGTCGACACGCGCAAACTTACTCATAAAATCCTATAGGTATTTCTCGTTGACCTAGGATCATAAAATATGGCAAAAGTCAAGGTCTCACATCACAAGTAAAAGAAATAGATCGAAAAATCGTTAATATCTTTATTTTAGTTATATTACGTAAATTTTTTTTGCGAATATAAACTTATGTTTGCTGTTTGTTCGACCGGAATGTAGACCAATAAATATATATGGTTTTTTCCACTGCAATGTTAAGTTTGTTCTTGAAACCCACTTACCTTTTTGGTTAAAGCAATACTCGGTGCTTATCTTAGCTTTAATTCGCTGGATGAATGAATTATCTGCATACATAAATTAAGTTTTACGGAACCCTCAGTGCGCGAGCCCTACTCGCACTTGTTCGGTATTTTCTTTAAATTCAACAACGTCGATAAGTATCATTGCCAATTATTTAGTTAATTAAATAGATTACATTTTTCTATTTACTTTCCTTAGTAAAGTAATATAGTTCAACACTAAATGCGTTCTATTCATATTTTCTTATTTTACAATTGTTTTAATAAATCCTTCCGCATGCATCTCTGACAGTTTTTTTGCAATTCTTTAATTCACATAATTTAAATTAATTTTCATTTATACTTTTATAACCGTACTGAGTTATCTTTGGCGTTATTATCATTTTTCTTATTAAATACATACATATAACACTGCGAATATGTATTAAAAAAAATATTACGATTATGAATTCGGGACATGAATCAATTTACCCGTCCATAAAGACTACTCACCTGCGTAAGGAGCAAAAAAGCTACGTTGCGAACTCACTTATCAGACGATCTTCGAGTCTAATTTATAACCGGGAGTTATTCAATGCTCGGTTAGTCGGGGTACAGCGTTGAGCCCGCATCGCGAACACGTAAGCAATTGGGAGATTTTCGTGTTATCACGTATCATCTTCGCCCCGTGACTTGCATCTGAATTCGGGCAGTGGATCGTTTGTAGTCAGTGCGTCGTGTTTACTGCCCTGTTGACTATCAGCAATCAGTACGGATGGAATGGTTATACCGTCTGAATTTACTGTGAATGTTTGCAAATGTAGGGCATTTTGTGACTGAAAAACATAAAACGTTTTACGTAGTTATTGAAACGGTCAAATTGATGGACATTGATTAGGTTTAAAATAAATAAGGTTCATATCTATTGTTTACAATTTTATTATATATAAAACTGTAATGTCAAGTATAAAGTCGATTTAATGAGTCATTAGCGAAAATGTAAATCCATTTTATTTTGCAGTTAAGCGACGTCACGGTAAATTTAAGAATAACATCGAGGCAACACGAATATTATAGGCGTTGTTTTTTTTTTAAATAATAAGCAAGTTTTTTTTTTATAGGATAGGGTGACAAACGAGCACACAGTCCACCCGATGGTAAGTGGTTCCTGTGGCCCATAGACATCTACATCCATCCTCGATTGCGAATCGAAATGCAGATGCGTTGTCACCCGTGAGGACCAAGATGGAATGCCTCTTTTCCAGTAAAACGGGTCTCCGGTTCTGTAGACTCACCACACGAAACACAGCAGTGTTAAGCTGCCATTTTACGCTGGTATTCTGTGAGAGCGTGGTCCTACCCCGGTCGAGTCGATCCATTCGTGCTACATCTATACTACTAATATAGCTGCACCATGGCTCTACCACATAAAAAATAACATTAAAGGGAAATATATTATCTCGTCTTTTAACAATATATACTCAAAGATAAAATAGATGTGTTGTTCTTGCCTATAATACCTGTAGTAAAAATTTAAAGTGAGCTTATATCTTTTTGATATCTGAGACAGATTCATGATACATAGCCTATGAAGCAAGGAGTCGGCCACTATGCTCGAGTCATCGAAACATGTTATTCCACAGACATGTAGGTTTCATCACGATGTTTTCCCTCAGCGCTCTACACGTGGTACTTCAGCAAAGATTATGGCAAAAAAGACACCCATGTTAAACAATGGACTTTTACGGCCTGAATTCCAAAACGAAATCAATTTCTGTTTTTCTGGCTGGGATTCATACCCGAGGCCAGTGGCTTTTACTAAGTACTCTCTTCACTCAACCTGACCGTCAGGTTATGGACACTACAATAATGTCTCTTTTTATTTAAAACGTACGATATTTAAAAAATTATACATGACATTCTAATGTTATTTCTCACGTTTACACTTTACTGCTTTTAATTTAAACTATAAAAATTAAATGTCGACAAAGTAATTGGCGTTTGAAAAGTTCTCGGCCCGACTAAGAAAACAAAGAAAATAAAATTAAAAAAATGTTTTATTTTTCTACACATTCTCCCTTGTCTCAATATACTTATTCAATCTATGCTCCAGTGCTTCTATGCCGCTCATATAGGCCGATTCCTCCAACTCTTCAAAAAACCGCTCCGCCTCAGCTATCACCTCTTCGTATGTGAAAAGCTTTCTTTCAGCCAGGTGTTCTTTCAATTTAGCATAGTATGGACCTGTTATAGTCTGTCCTTTGAGAAGTTAGTTAATAAAAATAATTCATTGTAATCCCAAAACACTGATGCCATCACTTTTAACTTCGACTTTTGCGATTTGGCTTTGTTCGGTGGCAGAGAATCGCTATATTTCCACTATTTCGACTGTTGTTTAGTCTCAAGAATATAGTAGTGAATCCAAGTTTCATCAGTGGTTATAAATCTTCTTAAAAAGTTGCTAGT